TCAACAAAAACCTTCCAGCCAAAGACATTGAACGAGATCCCCACATATTGAGCTTCTCCATTGCCTTATTCAATACAAACTGATAATTTGCAGCTTTTAACCTTCTTGGGGCCATCTTCACACCAAGATTAGTGATTTCAGCAATTTATCGGTAAGAAAGAATTTTATTAAACTTTCTTTTCCTTCTTCTAGTAACATATTTTCCATACAAAACCATAGATTTCTAAACATCAATCTTTTGTCCAGTCCAAGCACAGTAATCCGTCAAGATTTTAATAATGAGCTTTGCATTATTCCAAGAAGCTTCAGACACTAATAGAACATCATCAGCAAATAACATATGAGAAACCTTTGTAGTATTTGGAGCAATTCATATCTCAAGATCACCGCCTCTATCATGTATTACTTTAGATAGTAGCTCAGAACAAATAATAAAAAGATAAAGAGATAATGAGCATCCTTGTCTGAACCCACATTCAGCATTTATCCAATTACTCTTCCTTCCATTTATATAATAGAGGATTTCTAATAGCTTATATATTGGATAATTAAGTTACTAATCTTCTCCGGGAATCTCATAGCATATAAAATCTGCTTTAAAATTTTCCTAGACATGTTATCATATGCTTGTTCCATATCAAGTTTAAGTAACATATATCCCTGATAAGCTTTTGAGAATTTAAATTTATTTACAATCTCATGAGCCAAAAGACAGTTTTCAAAAATATTTCTTCCTGGTACAAACACTCCTTGTTCTAAAATAATCCTGGGAAGACACTCCTTCAATCTATTCAAGATCATACCCACCACCATTTTATAGATAGTTTGACATAAGCTTATAGGTTTTAACTTAGTCGCATATGATGCATTAGGAACTTTAGGAATCAATACAACCAATGTTTTTTTCCAACTATCAGGCATAATTCAAGGATTAAAAAAATTCTCAACAGCATTCCACAATTCAATATTTACAATATTCCAGAAGAATTTAAAAAAAAAACAAGCATTAACTCCATCATTTCCTAGAGATTTATTATTGTTTATCTTCATAACAACAGATAGAAGCTCCTTCCAACCATTGAAATTTAAAATGTTGTCTCCACCACATTGAAAGTCTAGTAAGAGTACAATTCAACTTTTGAATTTTCTTCCTCAACACAAGCAACTTGTTCGAGTTCATACCATTTATGCTTTCCTCTCCTTGTAATGCTATAATTTCATTTTGCAAATCACACTTTAATTTACTAAGCTCTTTCAAATTATTTTTGCTCCATGAGAACAAATTTTTAAGGGACCTACTTACTTTTCTTCTGCAGTTCCAAAATATTTTTTCCTCCAAGCATTCATAACCACACCTCTAGAAGCTTCATAAGAACACCATACATTCTCAAATCTGATAGATTTCTGATTATAGATCATCGAATTGAAAAGATTAATAAGAAGAGGAAAATGATCAGAAGCGACTCTTGGTAAATGCTTGATAACCACAAAAGGAATATGAGATAATACTTTAAAATTTAGACATTCTGTCAAATCTCTCCCAAATACGAGTAAGACTTTCTTTATTGTTACACCAAGTATATTTAGGCCCAATGAAACCAATGTCATGATAATCATTTCTAGATAAAAAATCCTTCATCTCTTGCGGCCCTTAGGAGAACATGAATCTTTTGCCACCTTTTTTCTACTTTGAAGAGAACACAATCAAAATCTCCTCCAATAATGCAAGAATTATCATTAGTTGTATAGGCTTCTAACATATTCCACAAGTTTCTTCTTTCATGCAAATCTTTATTTCCCTAAACAATGGCTATCGTCCAGATAATGCCATTAGGAGCTTTTAAATTACCAATGATACATTGATTAGAAGAATTTAAAATAGTGAATGAAGAAATATTATTTTTTCCACAATGCAAGAATACCACCAAAAGTTCATCTAGCATTAACATGAAAAAATCTCAATTCATACCAATAATCCTTCTAATTTCATTAATATCCATGGAATCTAATTTAGTTTCCATAAGACCAATAAAGAAAACACCATTATCTAAAACCAAACTTCTCAAATAATGAGAAACTTCTCTTTTCTTTGCTCCCCTACAATTCTAAAAAAAGCAACGAAGACATTTAAGAAATCAATGAGGAAGAGGCCCCAGCACCTTCATGATATTCTTCACTTCTACCTCTAAGACTGTCCTTAATAAGACCATACAAACTTAATTCTTTTTTTAATTTGTTTCTTCTGTTGATCAGATTTTGAAGACGAATGATTCTTATTATTAATAGCATGCAAAAATTCAATTCCACTCAAATTATCCTTGAAGAAGCAATAACAGAAATAGAATTACCATTAATAGTTTTGAAGGATGAGTTTGATACCTTCAACTTCTTTGGAATATCTTCAGCGTTATCTTCTATTGGCGCACTTGATTGAACTTTTATCCAAAACCTCTTCAATTGTAGTATTTTGGACTTTCTTAACTTCAGAATTTTCTAATTCTACATCAGCAGCAGAATATTCAACAGTACCCATATCATAAATATGTTCATTAACTGAAACGTCAGTAACATCTGGAGCTTTTAAAGTTGAAGTTCACTCTTTTGTCTCCATCTTGTTAAGATCTTCTCAATCAGCATTTTCAACAACCAGATTACCATCTTCTATTGAATGTGATTTTGAAATCACATCATCACTTTTGAAAGAATCAGCAACTGGATATTCTTCAGAAACAGCAGAAGTATGTTAGAAACAGACTTAATTTTATCACCTTCAAGAGAAACTGAATTTACAGCAACAGGTTTATACAACACCCCTTTGGTCTTCACTGAATTTTTGTCAAACTGAGCTACAACTTTAGCTCTATTGGATGAATAATTTTTTTCCTTCCATTATTAACATGAATCCACGGCCCATAGTTATCAGCATACAAAGCAGAATTTGAATCAGGTTTTATAACATCTTTTTTTATATCTTGATTCACATCAGTTACACGATCAGCAGTAACAACTTTATCCAATTTTCCATTAGATAAAGAAGACTCATTCTGAAAATTATCATATTTATTGCAATTTTGTTGATTGTGTCCCATCCGACCACAATTATAGCAAAGTGAAGAAATTTTCTCATATTGTATTTTTTGAAAAAAAAATCCAGAATTTTGTTCAACCCAAACTCCTCGTGGAAGTCAATCTTCAAGATTAATACAAACACATACTCTTGTGAATTCTTTTCTACCCCAGTTAAACATATTGCCATCCAAATAAATAAGTGTTTCAACCTTAGAAGCTATTCTCGCAAGATTAGTTTCATTCCAACAGAACAACGAGAAATGAGGCAATCAGATCCACAGGCGAAAATAAATTCTTTATGGATAGAGGTGAAAAATCTAGACTCCAACTTTACTTACCAATTATATGTCCAACCACAAACCAAGGTCCTCTGCTAAGAACAACATCTTTAACTTTAGCTGAATGAAATGAACAAAGCAACCATTCCATTCCTAAATTCATAATGTGAAAAGAACCAAATTGACTCCACTGCTATCGCAATTCAAAACTATTCATTGAAATAGGAATGATGTTTCCAAACACCTTGATAACTACCGAATTTTGAAGTTTATGAATATTTGATTTTACATTCTCAAAATGCAATTTAACAGACACCATCTTCTGACATTTCAATAATTGTTTCCGGATTAACTATCTTGATGTTCGGGGCTTTCCTCCAAGCATTATGTTATCCATTTGCCTTACTAGCATCAATTTCATTCAAATCTTCAGGAACCTTCTCACCAACATTTAACGAATCCGACTTCGTAAATGATAACAAAACATTCTCCTTATCCGAAGAATCATGATTAATTATTCCCTTTTCAAAGGAATCAGGCTTGCAATCATCTTTTATACATGAAATTGAATTTAGAACAATCTGCGCATAAGAAGCTGAAATTCCTCCAACTCTATAATGCTCATTAAAATCAACAGATTTAGAGAATCCATTAACTTCTAGTTTAGTACCATAAGAAGATGATACCTCAAAATTATTATTTCGTTGTTCTACGCTTTCAACAAAATTCGTTTTATAAGATAGAACTTTAGCTTCGAAGATCACCTCTTTACCCTTACCAAAATCCGAATCATTCTTTAGAATGACTGTAGCATTTGTTGAAGGACTTCACTTTTGTAATTTCTTTGCAAAAAACATGTATCAACTACGGCCTTATCTTCTCAACCCTCTTCATTTCTCAAAAATAAGAGGAAGTCGAATCATCATTATTGAACAAAAGGTTTCATCTATGATCGATGTTGATGGAAATGCTCTAACTTTAACAAGTCATCTTCTTCTTACCACATAATCAAAAGATCATGTTAGCAATCATACTCAAGGAGTCAAACTCGACATTCGTTCTACCACTCCTTGGATTATTCAAGTTATTCTTTCTTCAAACTTTACAAGTTATCATTTAGTGATAAATTGCTAGTGATTCTCCATATTCACTAAGTCCTCCCTATTCTACAAATCTGCTTCGAGAAATACTCTTCTAATTTGTTACATGCTCGACACTCATCGCACCTCTGAAAATTATTGAATCTAAAATTATCCTTGAATTATATTACATCTAACTAAAAGTATTGTTAGAAGAAAAAAAAGGGGAAATTACAGGGTAAGAAACTCTGAGATTTCACTAAATGAGCTTAAGTACCAAAACTATGTAACATGAGCTTGACCTTTGATCCCATATTGATAGATTTGAACTGAGGCTCGAGCGCTACAGGATTAATGGCATACAAGGGTATAAAAATCTTATTAATATGATAAAAGTCATATTCCAAAGTCATGTATATTAGGCATGGGATCCATAATCTTATAGTGGGAGCCAAAGCTCACAACGGCATTGCCACTAACAGCAAGATATTACTTTAGACAGGTCAGAGGTTTGAAATTTAAAAAAAGACAATCAAGTATTAGTGGTAGAAAGCAAATTATAGGTGTTTCTGCAAAAACAACATAGGGGGTCGGTTATGAAGCAAATAATATCAGAGGCAGCATATGGCATTTATACTTCCAGCTGATATAGATGGAATTGTTTCTGCGCTTTATTAGAAGGATGAAAGCAAAAACACCCTTCAAAACAATAATACAGAAAGAACTAAGCCCGAAAAGGTAAGTTTAATATGTTATAAACCCCAATATCAAAAAGGGCTTTTGTCATCTCATCCATAGAAGTCTCATAATGAAATACCGCAAAAGAATCAAACCAATTAGCAGCTCAGCTGCTGCTCAACTTGGCGAGTTCAGGTGTAGCAACAGGAGCAGGAGCAGGAGCAACTCCACCGGTTGTTGGCCTGAAAATAACAAACAATACGCATAAGAGCGGGCTATAAAATAAAAGAAAATACATTGAAAATTTAATAGCCGTTCGCTGAACAAATCCATACAGGCCGACAAAAACTTTGAAGGCATCGTAGATTCCCCATTGTGCACCAGTCAATGTACCGATCATGACAATCCTAAGCGGAAGTCCACGGGTGAAAAGGCCCCACAATCCAAGTTTACTCACAGCCTAAGACAAATCAAAGTGAGAATCAACAATCAGTTAAAGAGTTCAGGGAAATAAAGAGAGTTTGATAGAAAAGAATCATAGATAAACTTACATCACCAACTGTAGCTCCCTTTGCATTGTTGAGGAAAGAGACGAGATTGTCAGCTGGGTGAGATACGATAGCACAGAAGACCCCAGCAATGTAGCCACCTGCAAAGCTCACACCAAGCTGAAAGGGCTTGCTGCATTGATCCTTTGGAGTGGGAATAACATTCTTGTATAGCAACTCCACTATGGTCTCAAATGAAGCAAATTTCATCATTGTGTCTGAAAATTTATTCAACAATCCACATCAGTTAGCATATTCCAAGGCAATTACCTCTAATCCCACCATCTGAAATAAAAATGTGGGATATCGGGCATGGAATTTCATGAAATGCAGCAAAAAAAATTTAAAAAGCCAAAATGCAGAAAATTCAAAGATAATTTTCTTTTCATTAATATTAGGGGCACATATGATTCCTTTTCATAATTTTACCATTACTGAGCTAAGCTATAAAATATAAAATCACTCTCGCAGAAAAAAATAAGTTTGAAGAGTGTAGTCAGGTCAGAAAGTCTTTAAACAGCAAGCATAATCAATAAGCAAAGTTTTTTAATGCACGTAGTGATTTTTAAAAGCAGATCAGCTGATAGTATTACAAAAGAAAGCGTAAGCCAGCAAGAACAGTTTGGAAAAGCGCATTAGTAAAAACAGTATGCCATTTCAATTCCAAAACCCGAGCTGTTCTTAAATGCGTTCCAGAATTTATTACCAAAACAAATATCAGAACATGGTTCAAGAACACAATTTCATAATTCAGTTGAAGAAAAAATGGGTTAAAATATTATTGACACAAAACACACGTGTTGCACCGCTTTTCTTGTCATGTTGTAGCTCTAAGCGCTCTGATCTTGCTCAGAGCGAAATCCAACTTTAGATTTCAAAGTTTGGTTCAACATGTGTCATAATAACTAGACACGATCATTTACTCCTTGTTGTGTCACCTAATGATTAAGTCATTGCTCATTGATTCTCCATTCTCTTCGCTAGAGCTAGTTGCTTCTTGATAGTTCTTCTCTTCAAGCTCACTACCCCACTATTTCTTATAAGATTTTGACAGGTTTTTATTATTAGTGCTAGTAGCTTCTCGAAAATGCTTTTTGATGCCTCATACTCATACTATCTCTCACTTCACATTGCTTCCATCCCTCATTCTTTAACTGGTCACATCTACTTTGATTCAAACTAATTTTTTTATTTTGTATAATTCTTTCTAGCTTTCTCCTAGTGTGAGTGGGAATTGTAAATACTAAAAGAAGTTATCTCCTTTAGCGTGAGACCTAACTCCACTATTTCATGATAACTCTTTCTTTTTTAATCTCTAATTTCTATTTATTGATTTGCGTCTGTGTTTGAATTTGTCGATTTTAGTGGAAAAAAGTAGATTTTAGATTGTGACTTGATTTACAATCAAACACATGGCTTTAATGCTTTAAATTATGTTATTTTTTATAGATAATCACAAAATTATCATGTCTCAAAATCTTCCAATTTTCAAGTTCATCTAAAGAAGCAAATAGTTTTCTAAATTAAGGATTTATGAAAGCATACCATCACAGATTTATGTTAGGAAATCCTAGACCATAACATACATTCATCACACTAGTCGATGCAAACAATTCAAAAAAATCAAAAGATAGTCTTTAAATTTTAATTATTATTAATCAAAGAAGAAACAACATAGCATTATCTTGTAGCGCACTTCATTAGAAAGCAAATCCATATTCGAAGGTAGAAAACTCAAGCATAGAGGACAAGTTAATATATGCACATATGAAATCTCAATAATCACATTTCAATTAAAAAAAATGTGCAATAATGAGAGTGTGCAATACAGGAAAGTTGAAAACTTGAAATAGAAAAACAATCTGAGAGAAATCGAAGGAAATTATCCAAAAGATCAAAGAAACCCTTTCACAGTATAATATTACAATGAATTGAGAGAAGTAAAATGGGAAAAAGCACCACCTAAAGGTATAGCATAATACATTTTGCTACTTCATATTTTACTCTCTCAAACATTAATTAAAGAAAAACAAAAAGAAGAAGAATGACGGGCTAGAAGAATTTAACAAGTCAAAAAAAAATTTAATAACTACAAAGGGAAGAAGGTTTATTGAGTCTTTTCATAATACTCTTCGATTGAATTTAGGAAATAACACATTTGGCAATTAGTTAAATGGTGTCAAAAACCAAACCATGGGAATAATTTAAAGATAGAAAGCTAAGAGTATGATTGCACATTTATAATTGATGATGCAGATACGAGCTTTAATATGATCAATGAAAGATGCAAAGAACAAATAATTGAGATCATCGGAGTTGGATATCATCTAAATCTTGCATTGATTTAGGATCATGGCATTAAGGCAGCATCAAATTCCTTTTTATCAAGTACAAAAATTCCATGCTATTCATGAGGAGCAAAAAAAATACAACCTAGTTAGGAGTGTTTTATAGGAGAATTTCATCAAAAATACAGGCAAAAAATATCAAATGAACTTCCCCAAAATTTTATAAAGCATAAATAAAATAAACTTGGATCAACCAAGTACCATTATTCTACGTCTACTGGGTGGACCTCATTTAAAAGCTAGGGATCAAGGTTTCATATTTATATGAATGAAACTTGAGTGCCTTTGAATAAATCATGCAACGGCAAACAGTCCCTAGAATTTCATGTTACCAAACTATCAATAGATCAATTAGGGCCACCCACAATAAAATCCATTGCCAAATATGATTACCAACAGTAATGACTTCATGATCCTTCATAATTTTATTATTTCTTTAGAACCATTATGTCCTTACTATGTTCGGATAAATTTATCATTATCATATTAGCTATAAAGTTATTAGTTACTAAGCATAAGAGACAATATCATCAATATTGGCATAAAACATGTAATTATCATCTTAAGCATAATTGAATTACATTTTTTTGCCTAGAGATTTTAGGCAGTCCCCTCTTTCTCCTTGCCATCTTAGCTTTTCACCTCCCTTTTGAATGCCTATTTAGCAGTACTATTCTCTTTTCTATCTACCTTCTAAAATTGTTCATTTGCAATCAAATCTCTCTTTAAAGTGATCATCAAATTGTAAAGAGAAGAGCATTTTTTTTCTTCATATAAATCAAAAATAAGCCATGCATCAAAGTATGAAGAAACCTAAAATCCTTTGTCAAGGTAATAAGGTATATCAAATTTTCTGGTTTTCTTACTCCAGAATTTTCCTTCACATTCTCACACTCCTGAACATGAATTTCAACTCCCTACCATCCCAACAGCAAGCCTAAGCTTCACCTAAATGAAATTTCATATTAACATCTCATCTTTCAGTTAAAGCCATCCAATCATAAAAATTAACTACATGCCAAATCAAATTAGGTTTGAAATTTTTAATCTTAACTATTCTCAATATCTCAATAAACTTTACCAAATTTTTTTAATGTCATATAAAACCATTTAAGATGCTTTTCCACCTTTCCACATTCTCTATATGTCCCAAAACTTTAATTATCTCATTCAATATGAACCCAATGCATGACCTTCCTTCTCTCCTATCATGGCAACTAAAGAAACCCTTCCAATTAAAAAGAATGACAACAGTACTTCAGTCACCACCTCGCCCCCCCCGCGTTTCCCTCTAGACAACTCTCAGTTCTCCACAAAAGAGAAGAATAAAAATAATAAAAAAAAAGAAAATAATAAAAACACTGGTCAAGTCAACATATACTCTAATGACACCTCCTTCAAATGGTGTATGAGAACTCTTGTCAGCATCCCCTTCTACTCAAGGAATCTAGAAATTCTTCCTTAACATCATCAAAAACAAGTAAAAGATTCCATTGTGATCTACAACTCAAGTATATAATGCCAACTTGAAAAATATGAAGTTCTGATCATAATTTTGTTGACCGGCAAATTTAATGTTATACATGGGAATAAAATAAACTTAGGAAACACTAAAATAAACCCTCATGCTTTACATATTTCTACTTTCATTATATGGAGTAACGTTCAGAAAAGTAGTGTAAACAGCTATATACATACATACATACCTTGTACCTTTTTTTTCTTTTTTGAACCATTGTCTCTTCATGATGTTTGGATACATTTATCATTATCATATTTGTTATGAAGTTTTTAGTTATTAAACATAAAAGACGTCATCAATAGTGGCAATATAAGCAGTAATTAGTAAAGCATAAATTGAATCAAGAATTTTTTAAATAGATTTTGGACAGTCCTATGTTTCTCACTCTCCAAGTTGGAAACTTTTTTCACCACCCTTCCTTAGGCCTTTTCATCCTATTCTCTTTTCTATTCACATTCCAAAATTGTTCAATAGCAATCAAAACTCTCTTTAAAGCGATCATCAAATTGTAAGAGCAGCATTGTTTAACTTAAATTAATATCAACAATAAGCCCCTGCATCAAATTTGAAGAAACCAAAAAGTTCTGATAACCTTAACTTCGCTGCTAACTCCATCATTAAGCTATATCAAACTTTAAGGTTTTCTTCGTTCTTCTTAAATTTCCTTCATTTCCTCACACTTCCCATCATGAATTTCAACTCCCCACCATCCTCCAAGAGTCTCTACTTTATATAAAGGAAATTTCCCTATCACCAGTTCGTCTTTCAACGAACACTGTCCAACCATAATAATTAACTTGTCACCTCAAATTAGGTTTGGAAATTTTAACCCCAACTTTTCATAGTATCTCAACAAAGTTTCTCCACTTATTTCTATCTCATATAAAAACCAATAAAAAAGCATTTATCTATTCAAATCCTATCCAAAACAGCCCGCCACATCATCAAAACAGCCTAACGATGTAGATCATTGTTTAAAATTGTACAATATGAGGCTCGCCTTGAGGCCTCGCACAATTCCAGTGAGAACATCTGATACATAGATGAGAGAAATTTGGCAGAGATGGTAAGGAAAGCCAAAATATATATATAATAATTTGTACAGTAAGATAATTATTGGATTAAAGTATATATATATATATATATATATAGAGAGAGAGAGAGAGAGAGAGAGAGAGAAATTAAGGAATTAGAAAAGAGATCAAGACTTTTAATCAAAACTGATATAATAGGTAGTAAAGGTAAGAATATATTAATTAAAGAAGATGATACTAATGAAAGATGAAAATATTATTTTAAGAAACCATTAAATGAGGATTTTAAATAAAAGATTATTTTACAAAAGCAAATATGAATAAATAATGAAGCACATGATAGATTGATTCAAAAATGTGAAGTTGAACAAATTTTGATAAAGATGCAAGTAAAGTAATTCGAACTTCATGAGATATCTATGGAGTCTGGAGTATTATAAGAGATATTGAAATAATTTAGACAGAATACTTTTTAGTAAGATCCTAAAATTTAAGAATATGCCAGATGACTAAAGAAGTACTTAAAACTGACACATGAGATGTTGAGGTATAATGATAACTATAGGAGAATTTAACTATAAAAATATTTGGAAATAAAAATTTATGGGATTAATAGAATTAAAAGTTTAGACGACATAAGATTTTAGTGACTATAATGTTAAAAATTAACGATCAATGTTACTAGAAGAGAAGTGTTATCTAACAGAAATAGATTCAAGTATCATGGATCTATCATGCATAAGAATCAGGATATAAATGAAGATATAATTTTTAAGATTAAGACAAGGTGGTTAAAATGAGAAATATCTCTTAAGTATTATACATTTATACACTAGAAGAATATCAAGGAGACTAAAATAAATAATATGAAGTACAATTAAGTTGACTATATTCTTTGGATCCAAGTGTTAAGTGCTTACAAAAATCAACATTAACCAAATTGAGCATGGCATATGAAAACGTTACGATAGATGTCAAGTAAAACCATAAGGATGGATTGCAAAATGATTATATTATAAGGATAATAATAACATTGATGATTTAGTATTGAAAAAAATAAATTAAGCGATTTGGATATAATATAGAATATAGGATAAAAGGCACCCAAACAAGGATATAAATTAATGCCAAAGTCTTACGAAGAAAAAAAAAAGGTTAAATGAAAATTAAACTAGATAATTTTTTCTGAGTAAAAAAAAAATTAAAATATTTTATAACGCTCAATTGGAACAAATGAGCATTCATATAGACAATCTTGGATAGTTGGGATAACATTAATGTTGATGATGATGAATTTAATTGTGATAAATAAAATAACTAAAAATATTAATTAAACTATATGCAAGGAAAACCTACTAAGAAAATTATTTCTATTTGAAAATTAATGAGAAAATATAAAGAGCAATGAAGAGAATACTCATAAGTCAGTCATTGATCATATAAAGGTATATGATAAATACAATAGAATTAATTTGGAGGGTATTATGGATGAAATTCATTTCATAATAAAGATACGCTTGCATCATTGATTGCATTAAAATTTTGAGTGATCAAAGATTTTTCAATCATAGCAAAATTATAAACAAAGTTGAAAATATATCTCTTGAAGTACTTGTGGAGATATTTCCAAAAGATATCCAAAATGAGGCACATTATTATATGTTATTAGAAAATGAAATAATTATACAATATAAGACCTATTCTTCAGTGAAAGCTGGAACCAAGAAACTTTCTAAATTATAAGGGCCTTAAAAGTCAGAACGAAACAACAAAAAAAAAAAACTTAATAAGCAAATAAAGTGATGTGAATTTAAACACTATTAGATCACATGGCTGGAACAGCAATAAACCTATTTGTGATAGATTTATGTACAATAAATCTATATATAAAATAACTTAACATAGGCAATACATAACTTGTAGAGTTGAAACAAAGTGGCGCTCTCCAAACAAGAAATGCATCAAGATTAGTATTTGTTAAGAAAGCATCATGAACACTGAAGATAAATTCTATAAAAGCGTAATAAAACTAAATATGCAATATGGATCCAAGTGTTGGACAACAAAAAATCCCCTAGAAGCCCAGCTAAGTGTGGTGATAAAGAGAATATTAAAATGAATGAATGGTAAAACTAAAAAGAAAAGAGCAACAAATAATTAAGAGTGCAGAGTAACGCTTAATAGATATAAAGCAATGAAAATCAACATTGTTCGATTAAGCATGTAAAATGCAATGCAAAACATTAACCAATAAAGCCAATGGAATGAACTAATGTGGACAAAAAGAAGTAGCTAAATGTAATGTGGCCAAAAGTTGAATAAAAAAATGTTGGACTAGATAGAATTAAAAGTTAAAACCTCATTAGCACTACACATGAATGAAAGAAAGGGGGGAGAATTTATAAATGAAACAGAATAGCTAGGACAGGCTTTTGTTTGGGGCGGCTTTTGGCTTTCTATTTATAATGTCAAAACTTTTAAAATCTACTTTATCATTCTCATATTATATTATCTTTCCCAAAAAAAAAAAATCTTAGAAGCCATTTGGTTGTATGTATTTGGAAATCCAATGTAACAAAATATAATTTAAAATAAAATCATGTATTTGAAAAACTTTACCAATGTTTAGTTGCTTGTAAAAGTAATTTAAGAGTTTAATCTGTTATGCTTGATTGCTTACAAAGTAAAACCAATATTTAAAATACTTCACCAATCGGAGGTAGTAGAAGACAACAGCGGCAGCCAGTGAAATTTCATATTTACGGTGTATAAGGAATTCACCCGAATTTACATTTTTAATGAATTTGGCATTCACCCAAAATTTAAATCCCCAGTATTCTATACTTTACACAACAAATGCTTGCAACCAAGCGGACCCTTAAGCAAATTTTAGAAAGGGCTGAGAAAAAGCTTTATAGTTTTTTTAATCCAAACAAAAACTACTTCTTGTGGGTTGATTTTCCTACGACAAAAAAAACAATCAAAAAATTATCCCAAGTGAAGAATAAGGATGATGATAATGAATAAATAATAAGTTATGATTGACCATATAATGAATACGTTGAACAAGACCCTGTGCTAATGACCTAATAACAAGGTCCTCAATTGGGTCAATATTTACTTCAGGTTGTTTACCAGCGTTAAAATTCATAGAGCAAAAAGTTCAAAAAATACAGTAAATACCATGAAAAAACACAAAAATCTCTAAAAAAACAACCAAACCAAAAAAGCTGAATCCGTAATACAGTAGAAGACCAACAAAAATGAAAAAATAACATGATTTCATAAGGAGATAATAATCCAATAATATATATTAGTAGTTCAAGGTTTAGGGAGAAGGATAACGAGCGTTTGAATCTTACATGGAATCTGACGACCCCACAGCGGAACAAGCCCTTTGTAAAGTCTGTTAAGCACATACACAAGTAAAATTTCAACAGAACGCAGAAGAAAAAAATCAAAACATGAATGTGAATTGCTATAGGAACATACCCCAAGGCACCTTCAGATTTGACAAACTTCGGGAACCCATCACTCATGCCACGGGCAAACCCCGGTTGCGTCTGGACCCGCACTTTAACCGCCTCAAACGGGCAGAGAGCTATATCGGCAATGAATTCGGCGGATGCAGAACCAGCAAGATAAATCAACGTCTTATATTTGGCTGCATACTCAGGCCCAGCAATGTCCGCATAATATTTCTTGAAGTATTCGTAAAAGCCAAATTTGCAAGCTCCCTGAGCGCTGTAACCGATTAAGGTCGGTACCCAACCTCTGAAAAACCCCCTGGCCCCTTGCTCCTTTAGCAGAACTCCAAATCCAGAGGTGATGCTCTTATATTTCGCTGGATCAATCTACCGATCAAGCACAATTTGGTAAGAGAAGTAGACAAAAAACATATATCCTTCATATCCAAACAAATATATAGATTAAAAATTAATATTCAACGAGCGAAGTGAGAGAGGAGTCCAAAAAGTCCAGATCCGAGGAATAAGCAACGTATATAGGATATCAAATCGTTGCAAGGCCACCTATAGCACAAGATCAAGGCGCAGGTATTCCTAACAATGGCAGGGGAAGCTGAGTTGCTGACCTGCATGTTGCACTTAACAAGATCGAGAGGGGTGACGGCCGTGTGGGTGAGACCGCAGCTGAGGATGCCTCCAGCGGTACATGCGGCGTAAAAGGCCGGGCTGTACATCTCGATTTTCTTTGCGGGCTCGCTCGGAGCTTCGGCGAGGAAAGCGGCGGGAGAGGGCGGTCGGCTCGAGGGGGCTGCTTTCGCCACTGGAGAGCTTTGGCTCCGCGAGAGTATCCATTCGAGGCCGGAGGATCTAATCGCCGGCGAGTAGAGAAAGGAGGGCACGAAGGCTTCGCGGCGGGAACCATCAGAGAAAGCCATTATGACTGCGAACCTTCTCCTTTGTGCGATGGGGGGATCGTGTTCGGTTTAATAGCGTGACAAAATGTAATATAATAGATTGCTGATCCGCTGTTTGACCGCCGAAGGGGGATGGCTATTATATCCGACGTGGAAGAATGTTATTTGCACAAATGTTAGAACAACAAATAAATGAAGGACACGTGGCAATCTGATATTTTTGCTGTTATGAACATAATAGCAAGAAGCGCAAATAAAGCAACCATGTTTCCTAGGGTAACGGGGAATCGAGCTGGTTCGGGCAAGTCCAGCCGAGTCCCTCTGCAAAGCGGGCTGGATATTTATTTATAAAATATTTTAATTTTTAAATTATAACAATATTATTATTATTATTATTATTATTAATTGATGAGATTTAATTGCTATAATTCTATATAGGCACATTTAAAAAAGTTATATCAGAATATTTCTTATATAAATGAGACAATTTAACTTTTTTTATAAATATCCAACTTATACATAGATAAAAGAATATTACAATAAGCACTTATGTTTTTACGTGAAAAATGGCACAATTGAAATGATTCCATAAATATAAGTTGTATGTTGCAATGATGTCATTCTTCATAAGTGAGGCAAGTTTTGATATTATGTAGACAACATGAATTGTGGATGATATATGGTGGAAGTTAGAGGATTCTTAAGGCATTGGAGTTATTTTCAGAAGGGATTTTTCTCCTTCGAGCATATGAGACTATAAATAAAAAATATGTTTAGTATAATCTTAATGTTGAATTCTATATTAGAGTTGAAGTAGATATCATGTAGAGGCCTTATTGGCAATATTACACATTGATATTATGAGTGATGATATGTGATGAAGTTAGCATGCATTGGCCTTGAAGTTGACTTCAGCATACAATAGTCTTTTAAGTTATGATGTGCATCAACCTTAGAGGATATGGTGTGCATCAACATCATGTATCAGCCTTATAGACGATATTGCACTCTAACACTCTTGGCGATAATAAGCAACAAAGTCAACAGGCATCGATGTAATCTAGTGATAGTTGTCAAGTGATAATGTATAGAAGACTATATTCAAGTAAAAGTGGTAAGGAGATCATAATCATGCAATAATGATCTGAAGATTGTAATTTGGCAATGGTAGTTACGGAACCATCATTGGGCAATGATGATTAGATAACAGTGGATGAGAAATAATAGTCAAGTGACAATAGTCACGAGTTCATAATCAATTTGTCCTAAACATTAACTAGTAGCATAAGATATTAAGATAAATCCACAAAGAATTTTTATCTTAAGCAAGGTTGTTTGTCACAGAGTTACTTACCGATGTTACCATTTGTAAAGTAGGTTGAAAGAAATTCATCAAAGATTTTTAAGATATTTGTTGTTATTTATTAAAGTGTTACTTAATGACACTAATCATTATGGAATTGATCAAATAGAATCCCCCCAAATGGATTGTATCTTGATTGGGAAGAGGTGAATGTCAAGTACATCATTAATTAAAAGATGAAAATTAGTTTGCTTTAGACTACTACTGCTACCATTTTGAGGTCATGGTTATGACTTTGTCGAATGGGAAAAAGTCCATTTAAGGATTGTATGTAAGGTTAAAGATTCACTTTAAATTTTTTTATAAAACTTGTCATATCTACAAGAAGATTAAAGAAAGATATTTATCATCAGGGTTCCTTTGGATGCATAGAAATATATTGGAAACAGGACTTATTGGATCATGACCATGTCTAAGATGTTAACATGAACATCCTATAGATGTTATAGTTAAGTTTACATGTAGTCTTGAATTGCTTTCCATATAATAGATGAAATACTGGATGACTAATAGGTTATCATGCCTAGAATGCCATCTTTTTAAAATTGTAATTAAGTTCGTCGCGCCCCAACCACCACAAATGGCCCCTACCACAAATTTTAAGTTGGCTCTCTTAAATTAATAATCATGTAGATGGTAAAGGGTTTGTTCCATCATAATTGTGCTTGAGATGTTAACATAAATGACCTTTCAAGGTTTTACAAGATTATAATTATTGTGTGTAGACGATGTCACTCTTGTGTGCAAGAAACTTTGTGATAATAAAATGAGAGAGTTTAATATCACAACTATGTTCAAAGATCTAACATGTATACATATAAATGAAGGTTACAAGAGACATTAATACTTTTACGTTCAAAACTCAAAAAAGGAAAAAAAATCATGGGATTTGACCTAATTGAAATGATTTCCCATAATTAAGGGAGATGTTGATATAGTATATTAGAAATGAACTATATAAGATGTATTCAATATTGGAAGTTAAAGGATCCTTGAGCCATTGTATTTATCTTTAAAATGTCATTTATAATCTGTTTGGTTGTTCTCCTTTGAATAAAGGAGACCATAAAACAATAATTTCAATAAAATCTTATTGTTAAATGCTAAACTAATGTTAGTGTTAATAGTGTACAAATGTTTTATTGGCGATGACATGCATCAATGTTGTGAGTGATGAGATGTGATGAAGATAACATGCGTCAACCTTGGTATAAGTGGCATACATCAACCTTATAAGTGATGGCATGCATTAAAGATATGTATTGACCTTATATGTGATGGTGTGCATCAATAAAGTGCATTCGTCTTATAAACAATGGTATGCATCAATAGCATGCGAGTCTTTACATTGTCATTATGAAATTCCTTAAGTAAATAAGCTAAACTCTTAAATATCAAGATATTTTTTGGTATAATGGTTGAAATTTCATTAAGAAACTATGTAGTTAAGCGTGTTCATGTCAAAGAAATCCTACTATGATGAGTGACCTACTGGTTAGTTATTCTACATGATAAAATCGTGAGGCCTTTAGGTCAAGGCAGACAATATCTAGATAATTAAGAGTTTGGACTATTATATATGGTATCAAAGCAATACACTAGCTAGAAAGATGGGAACTAAGTGTCATATAAGATAAAGTGCTATGTCATGGGAGCCACCTATTGAACTCTATATTGAACAAAGTGCATGTTATGTGGGCGGAGTCACCACTTGAATTTGTAAGGGCCACCTCTAGAATCCTATTTTCATGGTGGTTGATTATGGGATAGAGATATTAATGATGATATTAGTTACTTAAGTGAGAGAGATTATAAAACTCCTTAAGTGAAAAGAAGTTAAACTCTCACACATCGATGTGTCTTTTGGTGTAATGGTTAGAATTTTATTAAGAAACTTTACAGTTAAATGTGCTCATCTTAAATAAATCTTATGATGGGCAACCTCATAGGAAGTTACACCCACAGGGAAAAACCATAAGGCCCTCATGCTAAAGCAAATAATATCTCGATAGTTAAGAGTATGGGCTATTACAGACATTGTCGCTCTAGTATAAATAAGGGAAAAAGAAAATTTTCTTTACATTTCTTTCTTTATGTTAAAAGAAATTACATGAGCCTGATGCACCAAATATATCAACCACACTAATGCCCTCACTACCTTCCTCACCATGATGTTCATGAAACTCTCTAAAGAAGTAGGAAGGATAAATGAACCTTGGATGAAGATCACGTCTTTTTAATAATTTCTTAACACAATTAGTGATTCCCTTAAAATAATGATCAGTCAATACATGCTCAAATTATCTGCCATGCACCATGAGTAGCACTTCATTAAACTTTTTAATTAACTCAACAACGATCAATTCATCCTATTCATTGGCCTTGACAGTCACAACATAATTAGTAGTTGTTACTTGAACATAGTCTTTTGCCTCTACAAACAAAAAAGCTTTTGCTTTCGCCAAGTCTAGTTCAAACATGTGTTGCTCTCACATCTCGGTGACTTCTTTTTCTAACTAATTCACTTTATTCACTCTCTCGGTGGATCATCTTCTCATAAAAAAAGGTGAACTCAGCATAATTCTTTTTCTAACTAATTAGACTGATTGTTAGCATTAGAATCTGCTTACAGTTGTTGGAATCATCATAATTAGCCTCAAAATTTGGGAAAAATCATCATAATTGTTAAAAAGTATAGGATGGTCATATGCTTATAAAAATCGATCAATTTGAGGGCTGTTGGATGACCCAATAGACTTGCATGCCTAGGAGAACTCTCAAACTCTCTTCTAATATAAGATAGCTAAAAACTCTCCTTATATTTCTCCATACTATAATTTCTTTTTATTTTATATTCCACTTTGCATGGAGAGATTATTACATGTGGATTATGGAGTCCGGACACAGAGAACCGTCTAGTTTTGTGACTATGAACAGTAAAAGCGTAGGGGGTGAACAATAAAACGTAGAGATGAACAGTGATTGTGAAATTTATAAAATAAACGAAATTACAATATGGAGTCAAATATTTTAATTGTATGATAAATGGATCGAGTTAAAATCAAACATATTCGAATTGGATTAATTTTGAATCAGAATCCAACCAACTCATGTTGACATCCCCATATATTGTATAAATTATGTTAGATATGAGATATATTTTACATATGTGATTTGAATTTTCTTATGATAAATTTTAAATAAATAATATAATTTTTATTATTGGAATAAAAAAAAATCTTTTAAAGATTTTTATTTTGAAGTAAAGTTAATTGTTAAAGGATTCATACTTAGTGATTGATTTAAGAAAAATAAAAAATTATCAAAATTATTAGGACAAAATCAAATATTTTATTTATAAATTATCTTAAAAAAAATTAATATTTAATTTTAGAATTTAAAATATTAAAATTTAATATATATATAAATATATACACAAAATTTTCAACCAATTTAGGCCCACTTCCTAAATTGTCGTTCATTGTTCGTCTCAGCCTGCTTGCTCCGAATGGCTGGGCAGAAATGCCCGAAGGAGCAGAGAAACAAGATCTTTCACGGAATTTTCCCCCCAAAAAAGAAAAAAGATCTTCCACCGAAGTTTATTGATAGCAAATCTCTATAAATTTTTTTTATTTTTTTTACGGATCTTTGCGCACGTGCAAAAAGGCACATTGGGTGCTCAACGGCAGTCCAAGGACCAAAACGAACTCGTCGATCAGTCCCACCCCACCGACGGAAGGCAACGAGACAAAACCGACCGCTTGCTCAAGCATCAGCCGCCGCGTTTTCTCCTAAGTCGGATCGGGCACTTGTAGAAAACGAAGCGGTAGCGGTTGCATCTTCCCTGCTCCTGAAACTCCTCTCTTTCTCTTTTGATTTGCGCTCCGTAGGATATAAGAGGAGGAAGCTGAAGGAGGACCAATACCATCTATCTATCGAACTTATATTCGGAGGTTACTGCGTACGAATCGCTTGCCGCGTTCATTTTATGCTTTAAAACCCATCATTTCACCCCTGTTTGCAAATTTCCCTCCGTGTTGTTTTTCCCCTTTTCCATGCATTCCTACCGTTGATTTGTTTTTTCCCTGAATTGACTCTCATTCAGGTGTATCAGCAGGTGATTTGTTCTAAAATTGGTATTTTGAGGTTGTCCCGATCTCGGTTTTGCGGTGGGAGGCATTTGTATAACAGAACAACTGCAACTTTTTTGCCCGTTTGTTTGTTGATTTTATTCTGCTGCTATTTAGTTTGCGACAGCCAGATTCTGGTTTAAGGAAATGGCGTCCATGATCCGTTTCGGCGTCCAAGGCCATCGCGCCGGTCTCCCTAGGGATTTTCCGAGCACTGCTTTTTCGTCGGGATCGCGAACTAAGCTAGGTTCAGGGACGGCTTTGAGGTTTCTGCGTGCGCAAGCAGAAAGTGCATATTTGAGGAGGAGGGCTTTACGGGTGAGCTGTTCCAAATCGGTCTCTGGCATTGTGGTGAAGGATGAGACGGTCAGGCAACACGCCGATGGCAGTGCTTCCGGGCTGAGTATAGTGATGAAATTTGGTGGGTCTTCGGTTTCCACTGCTGATAGGATACGGGAGGTTGCTGAGCTTATTCTAACTTTTCCGGAGGAAAGTCCGGTGATTGTCCTCTCAGCCATGGGGAAGACGACTAACAATCTTCTGCTGGTAAATTCTTAGTAGTTCTCATGTATGAATGTCACTATTTTCCGTTGCTTGTTCCAATCAAATCAGTGCTAATCTTTGTAATTTAGGCTGGGGAAAAAGCTGTCACTTGTGGTGTTTCTAATGCATCGGACATTTCTGAGTTGAAGTTTGTAAAACAGCTTCATCTTAAGTATGTTGAATTCTTATTGAATAATTGACCTTCTTGTTATTTTTGTTGCTGCCATGATTTTCAGTGCTTGTACTGCTTTTCTTTTTCAGGACAATCAATGAACTGGGAATTGATGGGTCCACAATATCTGGTGAGTTACACTCTTCTGCGTTGCCTTGCTTGTAAAAGTTAAATGCTCCTGGGATGGAAAATAATTGTCATGATTTCTACACTGATACTTATTTTGGAAAATTTCTTCGTTGCATTTCATGTTTTGTCAATAAGTTTACCTGCTTGCTTGTAAAAGTTATACGCTCCTGAGAAGGAAATATACTTGGCAATATTTCTATACTAATACTTATTTGGAAAATTACTTTCAACATCATTGCATTTCATATTTTGTCAATAAAGTTACTAGCTTATATGTTTAGATTGCTTATAAAGCTGGGTAGGTAGGGACATGTCTATCCTTGCTATGGAAATTGAAGGTTCGTGGAGGTTGTTAGACCTCAATGAACTAGCCCTAAGACACACTAATACGGAAGTAATACTATCACTTGATGTGGAAGCTAATATACTTATCAAAAGTTACAAAGATTGTGAGGATAGTATAATCAATACAACATAATATCAATCAGTTATAGCCAAAAATATAATGCGGAAAAATAAACTGCACAAAGTAAAAATTAGAATGAGCACATCTGATTTATAGTTGTTCAGTCAAATCATGACCTACGTCCACTCCCCGGATTCCTCCACTCCGGGTATTGCACTACCACTATAGTGACTCTCCTTTTACCCCCACAATAAGCCGGAGAAGTCTTTACAAACTCTCTTTCACCAACCTGATGCGGCAGAGGACCGTACTCCTTTCACAGGCAGAAAACCTGAACTCCTTTTCACCCTCATGGTGAGGCAGATAACCTTGAGTTACTTTCACCTTCCCCGGTGCGGTGGAGTAGCCAGGTCCTTGACGCCAAAGAGATCTTCTTCTTCCCAAAACTTCCCTCAAGACAAACATTGACTGTGATGGACTAAGGTACAAGCTTGCCAGAGAAACCATGTGAAATCCTCCTCCACACTCCCTTGAACCTCACAAGGATCTTCTCCCTCTTAAACTCCACCATTTTCTCTCTCCTTTTTAAGGCTCTCTTCTATTTTTCTCCAGAAGAAAACGAAGACTCAATGCATGCCAAAGTTTTTTACAAAGTCTTATGAGAAAGCTTAAATAGAGGGCTTAAAAAAACCCTAAAAATTTAATTCATCCATCAAATAGCGTACAGTACAATTGCAGGATTGTCCAGTATGATGTGCATAATTTGACATGTTAGTACTGTACGATCATCAATACGAACCATTCAATTTGCTTATTAATATTGTACGATCATCAATACAAATAACCAATAACAGGGCTGTTAAAATCGGGTCATGGGTCAGGTTCGGGTCCAACTCGAAACTGACCTGACATTATTTGACCTGACCTGAACCCGACCCATTTTTGCAAACGTGTTAGTTTTCCGAACTCGAATTCGACCCGCTTGGAGTTCGGGTCAACCCGAACCCGACCTGCTTTGGGTATATTTTATTTATTTTTTTATTTAATTCGATTTATTTAAATCTAAATTAAATTAAGATAAGATTTATTTTAGGGGTAGTTTGGGCATTAATGAGCTTCTAAAAATTATATCTCTTAATTTAAACGAAATTAGATACAAGTCCTATATACCAAATTGATCGGAATTTTACGCTCAAATTTATAAAATTATTCCTGTCGTAAACCGACAACCTCGAATTTTTCACTTAAACCTCGTCGCGATGCTTCGAAAAGCGTGCGAGGTCTTAGACGGCATTTTTGGGTTTTACATGATAATCTTTTAAAACCCTCATAAATTAATTGAAAACAGGTCAAATCGGGTTGATTTCGGGTTTTTGGGTCAACCTGAATCCGACCCGATTTTACAAAGGGCGAAATCCCTAACATGAACCCAAAATTTTTAGGTCGGATTTTCGGGTCGGGTCAAATATTGACACGCCTAACAATCGTACAATACAATTAGTTCAACCGAAATGCAGTTCATCCAGGGCGAATCATGGGACGACCAAAATCGTCTCTGTTGATTGTATAATATGATCTAGTTCGTACAGTACGATAAAAATATCAAAATTAATCTAATTTGATTGATTAATCACAGGATTAAATTAAATAATATTTTAAACATCGTATAGTATGATTAAGTTCGTTCACTATGAATAGAATAACTTTTCAAATTCAAAATTTTGCCTAATTTAATGAACGCGGGGTTTCTAATTATAACAGATTGTTTAGTACAATGTGATGTTCGCACTATATGATTAGTTATATTTCAAATTTTTAAAAAAATTTTTAGAAAAATTAAATGTTTTAATTAATTTCTTTGACAACAGATTGCACAATAGGATGTACAAAGAAATTAAAATATTTAAAGTCACTTTTTCTCCTCTTATGTGTGTGTGCACGGTCACCAGGCTAACATACATCCTTACAAGACTTGACTCAAGAAATTAAAAATAAATAAATGAAATATACAAGCTCTTTTAACATAATCTATTCTGCCAAATCTTGAGCCCTAATCTTCAAAGAACCGTGTATGTTGTACCTGAAATATTAGTCAACATACAAATATATATGCACTACAAATACTAGGAGAAATAAAGAGATAATCGATAATATTTGCTATCATCAAAATCATAAACTCGGGAGCCCGAGTTGCAACAGAAATGTGATGTTAAAAGGTGGTTGGATTGAATTTTTATGGTTTCTAGAAAATTCCTGAGGAATGTATGAGAGAGTGAGTCATTTTTGGTCCTTGTAATACTCCAGTTCTCTTTATTCATGTTGATTAAATTACAATTCATTTGCTTTTCTTGATGCCTCTACCCTTTTTTATAATTCCTATTATATGGTTAAATGCTTCATACTGTTTGTTCAGTGGATAAAGAATGGAGCCTCAACTTTCCACTTATCATATTGAAATGAGAAGTTCTGTCCATCTAGTCCATTGAGATTGTTTCAAATGGTAGAATAACTGATAGAGCTTTTGAAGTTATTGACGGGGACATCAGATTTCGACACGTGTACCACCGCCGGAGGCGCAGATCGACGGCCACGATCCAGAGTCTATATTTTTGATGTATTTGCATTTTAGATTATTTCTTTTATTTTTCCTAGTTTGCCCCTGAGGGCATTGCTTCTTTTATGTAGCCCCGAGGGCATTTACGTCCAACCCCCACCCAGCAGCCGCCGGCCACTCCAGCCCACCGGCCCTCCCTCGTTGCCGCCGCCACCTCTATTTCCCTCCTATTCAGATTTCAAAATTCTGAAACGTTTGGGCTTTATTGATCATTTAATGCTTCCTAAAGTGTTTCCTTAATTTAAGCAATCAAAATAATTGAAATTGAATTTGAAATTCAAAATCAAATTCAATCCAATTAATTGTTTGATTTAGGAAACCTCTTTCTATTTTAAAACTGAAATTTTAATTTCAGATTTTTGATAAAATCTGAAATCAATTGTGTGGTCCCCACTTGCTTAAAACTCCTCTTCCCTCTTCTCTCTCTTTGGCCGGCCCCTTCATTAGGCCCCTCTCTCTCTCCTAATCCCCCTATTAACTCCACAAAATCAGCCCCCAATTCCCCTCTCTTGGCCGCACCTTCCATCTTTGTGATTTAATTGAAATTCAAATTAAATCACCCCCATTAAGCCACCTAAAATATGAAATTACTCAGAATTTTTGCACTCCATCATTGGCTCCCCCACCTTGGCCGAACTCCTCTAGCCCGCCAACGCTAGACCGTTGCCTCCCCAAGTCCCGAGCCACTTCTCCCCCTTTGTATCATTCACATCAGTTATCGTTACATTTTTTAAGAAGCTCTTTAAAGAACTAGCTAAAATAAACATATCTGTAAAAGAAAAAAATTCAGACTAGAATCAGAAGTATGAATGATTTCATATTTCAGCTGACAGATAATTTTCATCATGAGCATTATTTTATTTATCTTATTTGTAACCACCAATAATTAAACGTGAGAAGAAATCTAATAATGTGACTCTGCCTCCTGGCTCTCTGGTCATCGTGAGGTTGCTTTGATTTCTGCTGCTAGCTTCATTTCATATTCATAATCCTTAACACACTGCTTGAAGAAACTGGTAAAGGTCCATTTTAATATCTTTTTATAAGTCTGAACATGCATTATTAATTCTTGGTGAAACCAATTATCTAATGAATGATAAGATCTTATTACTTGATATTAGTATTGGCTAAAGGTTTGATGTATATGTCTGGCCTAATAAGCACATTCAATATAAAGGACCTTATATTGATGGCCGCATTGAAATTGTATAAAAAATTGTACAAAATGAAAATGGTATATTATTTCCATTTGGTCAGTTCATTTCCCCTTCCAGTTCGCCTCCTAATTTTAGGAAATCTATCAGATGTCTTTTCATTATGTAGAAGGACCTCGTGGACCATTCAAAAGGAAAACACTCTTTGCAAAAGACTGGCATCAATAATAAGGTGCAGACCAGTAAATTTGTGCTTTAAATTTGTGGTTTAATGTTTGTCTTAAGAATAGGAAAGAAGATTTTAGTGATACTTCTATCCTTTTTGGAATAAGAATTTACTTTTTTTATTTATTCACCTTAAATCACACTCATGAGAATGTCAAAGAAATTATTATGAGGTAGAAAATGCTCAAAGTGTTATGTATACTTGATTGTGTACTATGTGATATGGTAGTTTTTTTTTTTCAGCAATTGATTTTACATTATTACTTTTTAATCTCCATCCCAATAATCATATTTTAATGGAGTAATACATGTAGATTGCTTCATTGATTGACATAGTTCTTGCTTCCTATTCAAATATTATTTGCTAAACATCATCATGCATTCCTTAGGGTATGTTAGTGGATTTTGATGAGAAAAGATGATATCCAGTTCTGAACAACCCTATTCATTATAGAAAATCCATTGGTCTCAGTCTTTCAAAAGGTGATTAGCTTCATAAAGGAACTTAGGAATCTCAAATAGGGAAAATCTTAGTATGCTATATAAAAGAAAGCTTATGGAGTTCATGATTTTGTTTAGTTTGGTTGTTGTGCATAACGGAT